GGTCCTTAAAAGTACTTAATTTCCATGTGGAGAAATGCATACAAACTCTGTTATATTCCTTTAGCAAGTTATATTAAGAAGAAATGAAACAAATTTAATAACAGTATCATGAATGATAGTCAGCTGCACTCCAAAATCTTGAATCTGCATTCATGAAAGCAACAAAATCATAATCATTCATGAAAAGTAATACAGGAAATAGATTATGAATGAAAAGTAATCTATTTCCTGTCTTACTTTTCATTGTTAAATTACATGAAAGAAAGACATACACATTCTTTGAGATGATTATAGGGAATTATTGCATAAAAAATCATAATTTTCTTTACCCTATCCCATAACCATGGCTTTGAAAAACTATGTTTTGCTTGAAGCTCTGAATTTGCAGATTTATGATTTGGTAGGAAAATGATTATATATACAGAATACTGCATAGATTAAACAGTATAAAGTACTCTTTGGATAACCTTAAGTATATGGTACAATAATTGTATTTGTATAATTAATAATAAAGTAATTACCTCCTTCGTGCTGGGGATAGGAGCTTGCAGTTGTTCCCCGTGAATGAGGAATTCCCAGCTCGTGTTGATTATGTTCCTGTCCTTTGCACAGCTGCCCATCACTACTACCGATTGAATGATTTAGTGACGTCTTCGCATTGGCTCTCGAAGTTGCTTTCAGGTTGCGTCAGCATGCTAGAAAGATGACCAAACTTGGTCATTTAGAGGAAGTAAAAGTCATAACTAGTGAGATTATAATTTTAATGCTAAGTACATTTAGGCTCAAGTTAATACACAAACCATGAAGACAAGTAGAAGGGAACAACAGTGTATAAATTATTGATAAAAGCATGCCATTTTTAAGATAATTAAAAATGATAATTCAGATGCTATTAAAATTAAACAAAAGTTCATGTCCTGTTCCAAAATGGAATTAATAAAGTGAGTATTACATATTTTGATGTGTACATCAATGTGAAGTATATATGAAAGATACTGAAGTATAATGATTTCATGTATGAGTGGAAATGATCTGTAATTGTTGTATCTCATATGTCGCAGCAAGAAGACATTGTATGAAGGAAAGGATAATTCAGTTGGTTTTAATCTCTATACAGCAGAGAAGTTTTAGAAGGTTAAAGGCTAGCATATAGAAGTGTATGCTCCCTTTCGGTTGGCATTTGAAAGGAAACACTTGCTGTATTTGAAATTGTGTCTTAGAGAGATTGCCTTTTCTAACTTTCAGATAAAGGAATAGAGAACACTAAAAGAATCTTTTGTTTCTGTTGCCTCATTTGTCTAAGCTGGGAAAACTCAGATAACTCCTGTCACAACAGAAGTAATTCGTAAATCATGAAATATCAACTCTTGTAAATAGTACTTGTATTAAAAACAGGTCTTGGTAATTAATATTTGCTAGGTACGTATAAAATATAAAGATACTTTATTTAGTTATGGAGTATTTTCCAAATTTAACTGCATTTTAGATTTCTATCACATATGCTATTCGTAGCCAGGAAATAGCATCGGAAGAAACATTTTTAAGAACCCCATTTCCACGAAACCTACGTAGCTCAGTTACCATTTTCACTTGGTAAACAGACTTGAAAGCCAAACAGGAATCAGTTATAGCTTAGATTGGCGAAAGAGGCATTTGCTTTCGGATTGCTGTTTTCATGTTGTATTTTGTATTCCTCACACTCTTTTCATTTTAACTTTATTGTTAGTTATGGAAGATAATAGAAAGGTGGTGGCTGTTAAGTTGATCAGTTTGATCTCGACAATGGCGATTCTAAAAGCTAAAAAGAAGAAAAAACGTGCAAAGAGAAGTATCTGGTCACTCTTACAAATTGTGGAATTTGCTGTTGTGCGTTAGAGCAATGGATGGAAAACATGTCGTCTACCACCCAAATCTGGATCACTCAGTTACAAAGGGAATTTCAGTATTGTTCTGCTGGCATTTGTAAATGCAGACCTGAAGTTCTTGTATGTTGTCTAGTGGCGCAGCTAGGGTGGGGCAAGGGGGGACATCTGTCCCTGGGCATAACACCCAAGGGGTGTTGAATTGATGCTACAAATTTTAGAATGTAAATGTTTTCCATTCACGGAACAGAGAAAGGGGCACAAAACTTTAGTTGTCCCCGTGTGCTGAAAATTCTAGCTACGCCTCTGATGTTGACATAATAACAAATGGGAGGGTTAGTGATGGTGGTGTTTGGGCAGAGTGCAAAAAGGCTATTGATTATAATACCTTAAGTATTCCTGATGCAGATGAATTACCTTACAGTGCTGTTAAAGTACCACATGTAATTGTTGCTGATGATGCATTTCCTCTTTGTCTAAATATAACAAATTCTTACCCTGGGCAAAAATTAAATCACCATAAAATAATTTTTAATACCATTTGTTAAGAGCCAGAAGAGTGTCTGAAAATGCATTTGGTGTTCTGGCTGCAAGATTCAGTTATATAAGTTCAACATACCGTCTTCCCCTTAAAATGCCAAACATTTTGTAATGGCTGCTTGCTGGTTGCATAATTTTTTAAGATGCACATCCTCAGCTGTTTATACTCCCAAGTACAGTACAGATAAAGAGGGTGTGGCACAGAAATGTTTGAACCTTGGTGACTGGCGTAACGCACAACAGCGAGTCACCGAGAAACTCAACAAGCCAAGTATATACAAAATACATTTTGTAATTATTTTAATACTGTTGGCTCAGTACCTTGGCAGAAAGACATGTGTACATTAATTGTTATTTTTAAATTGTATATCTTTTTACTCCAATTCTTTATAATAATCTATTGTATATATTTTTGTAAATACTCTTACATCGTACATTCAGTGTACTTGTAAGTAGTATTTTTGTATCCATATACAGGGAGCGGTAGCGTTCATAGTGTAATTTGACTTGCGTAGTACAATGACGTAATGCATGAATGCGCGCCAGCTCGTGCCGCATTCATGTACTAATGAGCTGCCATTTCAAGTGTGACAGTGATATGGACCAGGAGTGCACAGCATCGTGGATTTCCTGTTGAAAGTTATTTGAAGAATAAATACTCTGTTTTTGCTACCCAGCGTCTATTTCAGCAACATTTCAACTTGAGACGTCATGCGAAAGTTCCAGATGGACGGGCCATTGTGAGGTGGGTTAATGCATTTCGAACAAAAGGTTCTGTTCGCAATGGCAAACTGGGAAGACGTGAAAGAACTGTGCAGACACCAGAAGCTGTGGAAAATTTCGTACTGCAATATTGTGTAGCCGAAAAAGATCTGCTCATGGTCATTTGTAAACTTTGCATATGTCCGATCATTCATTCAGGAGAATATTGCATGAAGATCTGCATTTTCACCCATATAAGCTGCAGGTTGTTCAGGAAATTAGGCCTCGTGATTGGGTTGCATGAGAAACATTTTGCTGAACCATGCATGAACTCCTTCGCCTAAATGCGTGAACTCCTTCCACAAATGTTGCACACTGTCTTGATGTCAGATGAAGCACATTTTGAGTTATGTGGTTCAGTGAATAAACAGAATATGCATTATTGGAGTGATGTAAACCCACATGAACTGCACACCAAGCTCTTGCACAGTTCTCTTGTCACAGTGTGGTGTGGAGTTGCTTCCTTTGGGATTATTGGCCCTTACTTCTTTGAGGAGGATGACCACGGTGTGGCTGTAACTGTCCACCAGTGAAAAGATGCTGCAAGACTTCATTCTTTCCCAATTAGGTATGGCTGATGTGGAACAATTATGGTTTCAACAAGACAGAGCGTCCTCGCATACAGCCAGAATTTGCATGGATTTCTTACGACAGACATTTCCACGTATAGTAATTTGATGTTTTGGTGACATTTCCCGGCCGCCTCACTCACCTGATCTTTCATGTGCACACTTTTTCCTTTGGGGTCACCTAAAGCAAGAAGTTTTCCGAACATGTTGTGCCACCATTCCTGAGTTGCAGGATAGCACCAGAACTGCAGTCAGCAATGTCCAAGAGAATACATTACGCGGAGTTATGGCAAGCTTCCAACGCCACGTAGATGAATGTGTTGTACAGAGGGGGCATCATTTGACAGGCATCATATTCAAAAAGTAATCCAAGCAATGGACAATGAATTACACATTAGTAAATGGCATAACTTTTACTATTAATTGACATAAGAGGTAATAAATAAATTACATTTACTGCCTTATGGTGTGTTTTTAATATCCTACTATGAATGCTGCCGCACCCTGTATTTATTTAATAACTTTTATATACATAATACACATACTTCTAAAAGTTAAGCATGGATAGGAAAATGATAATTTCTGGAAGCCAATCAGAATTGAAGAGGATGCAATTCGCTGCAGAGGTAGATGGAAGTATGCAAATATGTTAGGTAACAACCAATCACGCTTTCATGTCAAGAAATATGCAAGAAAGGCAGTCTTATAAGAAGCCAGCTTTATGAAGGGTTACAAAAGTTGATTGTAAGTGCTGATAGAAGGTGTTTAAAACTTTTGTGCAATTTGTTTTCAAGACATACATGTGTCTATGACTTCCAGAAGACGAATGGAAGATTCTGAGCGCTGGTGTGCTGTGGGGCGCATTGAAGCAGGGCAGTCGATCACAGATGTTGCTCTTTTCTTCGGCATTCATCATTTTGTAATATCACATTTATGGAAACAATTCCAAACCACACAGACAGTTGTCCGAAGGCCCGTAGCCAGTCGCCCAAGGGTTACAACCCCTGCGGAAGATCGATATATTGCTATTGTAGCCAAGCAGAATTGCAGAGCGACCTCCACACGTGTGACATCTATGGTTACAGCGTCCATTGGTAAGGCGATATCTGCAACTACTGTATGCCGAAGATTATATATGAGTGAACTGTATGCCTTGGTTCCTTGAGTTCGTGTTCCTCTATCCATCCAATCAAGAACGGCACAATTACAGTGGTGCTGGGAACATGTCAGTTGGAATGTGCCTGACTGGGGCAATGTCATGTTTATTGATAGGTCAAGATTTGCTCTGGAGCCAGATGACAAGCGTATAAGGATATGACGGGAACAACAAACACACTATCAGTCCCAAAACATCCCCCGAACATCGCGCATTGCGAGGCGGAAGCATTATGGTGTGGGCAGGGATTTCATTAGGATCCCTGCCCACACCGACCTGCACATCTTTAAACAGGGTTCTTTGATGGCTGTCCGGTATTGAGATGAAGTCCTAGAACCCATTGTGAGATTGTACGCTGCAGCAGTTGGCTCTACTTTTGGTTTAATGGACGATAACGCACGTCCCCATAGAGCTGACATCGTCAATGACTACCTTGAGTGTAAAGGGATTGCACGTATGGTGTGGCCAGCATAACATATTCGCCTGAACTTAATCACACTGAAAATCTTTGGGATGCTCTCGGCCGTGCTGCATCTTCACGTTTCCCACCTCCAGCCGCTCTTATTGAGCTGGAAACCACTCTACAAGAACAATGGTGATTGCTTAATTCTGAGGTGGCTGACTACCTAATTGAAAGCATAGTCACAAGGTGTAAACTTTGTATACAGATGAGGAGGGATCACATACCCTATTAATGTTCTTTTTTTTTCATTTTATGCTGTTTATTTTCACTTTATACATAATTCTGTTTAAGTCTCCAGTATGTCATTATTTGATAACTTACAAAAATTTAATATTGTTTCCATTTCTGTATATAATTATTGATTTTGTTTTATGCATAAATATATATGCTACTTTCCTGCCGAATTTTGTGTCAATCAAAGCAGTATTTGTTGTTTTTTTTTGCAGTTTACATCTTTGGGCCTAACTTTTGGAAGTGAGTGTATAATGTCATTTACTGATATTTGTTTTGCGATCAGTCAAAAATTTTTTTTCATGCCCAGAATGTTAACTTTTATAAAGGCTGTTTGCTCAATTTTTTTTGCTTAAATATCCAAGTATAATGACAAATGCAAATCTTGAGTGTAAATGAGTGAATTTTAATGACTAGCCTAATGCACAAAATGCACTTCAATCATTTTTCAACTGTGTTTTCAGTATCCAGGATAATGTACAAAGAACTGATGACTACAGTTGCTGCCAATTACATGATCATTATATGAATTAGAAGTGACTTCAAATAAACTTTTTGGCAATGTTCATTTTTATATTCATATATAAATGCACATGTAATAAGTCATATATAAATGCAAATGTAATAAGTCATATATTTACACACACATAGAGAGATGATTTTGAAGATGTCAATGTATGTTTATTAGTATTAATGTAATGAATAAAATTTATATTAATGAATGTATGTACAAATGTTTTTAATCATGCATAAATTCATATAATAAAATGCATAAATCCATATAATAAAATGCATAAATCCATAAATACAATGCATAAATTCATAAATTCAGAGTAAATCCATAAATTTCTAGTATTTCAATATGTAGCATTTATAATAAAAATATAATTCTTAATGTATTTATAATCTAAAAAATATTTCATCAATAACATGACAATAAAAGCATACAAATTTTATGTGTATTCTCATTATTACATAAGCTATGCTTTCCATTTTTTAACACCTTTTATGTTTACACTATGTTGCTGATTATGCAATAAAGAACTTAAAAGATAAGTATTTAACAGAAAAGTAAAGTCATGCATATACAAACAGGGTAAAAGTATATTTTAGGGTATCCCTTGTCGAAACTTGGCGATTTTTGCGGTACATGGATACCGAGTTTTTTCAATGCTTTGACTTGTTATTTTAGCCTGCAAAGTATCGATTTTTGGTGCAAAAATTGTCGTTATGCAAGCCAAAATAACAAGTCAAAGAATTGCACAAACTCGGTATCCATGTACACATCAACCCATTTTCACTTTAAAAAAAAATCGCCGAATTGCCCAAACTATGTTTTACGCACTCCCTTGAATTTGTCCATGTACACATCGATATATTTTGACCTAAAAAAAGTCAAAGGAGCACCCAATTCTATAGTAGAGGCAAACGAAAAATACATAATTTCAGCAAACTACATTTTAAATCAAACAATAAAATAACACAAAAAACCTGTTATGTATTTTAGCACTACACAAAACAAAAATCCTCTTACATTATTTAGAAATTCATTCATCTTCAGTCTGTGGTGCACAAAATTCCTTAACATCATCCAAAAACTTCCTAAAATTATCTGAACTACAATCCGTATATCGACATCGCCACAGAAATTCACAAAAATAAGAGTAAAAAATATACCACATAGTTCCAGACTATGGCTACTAAGTAAACTTTCATTTACACAATTAATTCACTCAATTAATGCACTTTTGCCCTTTCGTTCCAAATCGTACAGAAACTTCAAATTAATCCTACTACATTCAGCCATTGTACCGTCTAGACAATGAAACAAGCAATGTACTTCCTAAGCAACACATACCACAAAAGCCCTTGCAAAACACCGCATGATTCAAAATTTCACAGAATAATGCAAATGATTATGTCATAATAGGGTTTCCATAGCATTCAACTACTCAAGTTACCATAAATGATGCAACAACTTGGTGATAAACAAAACAACAACTTTGCGATAAATGAAACAACTTTGCGATAATACAAGGGATACCTTAAAGTCAATTCTAACCACAAACAGATTAAAAAAAATTATTCACCTTAAATTAAATTAAAAAAAAATTCTATTATATAACAAAGATAACATTTTTCGCACAGTCAGCATGAAATACAACAAATTTGGTGAACTTTTGGTGATGAATAATTTGTAAACAAATCATCAAATGTACAAGCATGTCATAAAATACCGTCTACTCTGAGTAAATTTGATGACTATATAAACATTCTTAAAGTGACTTAGACAGTTATACTGCTACAAAACAGCAATATATATACGAGGGCCATCCAGGAAGTAGATTACGTTTCCGTCTGTGTCCGCTAGGGGCGGGGCTAGCGCGGCCATCTTGGGGTCAGAGCGTTGCGCAGCTCAGTCTGCATCTAGCCGTGCTAGTGAGAGGTTCGTGCTGTGCTCCGTTCAGATACTGTGACGGTTTGAAATGTCTGCGTTAATTGAAATCCGCAAGCTGCGAGGTGCGCTCAGTAATAAGGTTTCTGACTGCAAAAAACTGTAAACCGATAGAAATCTATCGGCAGCTTCGTGAAGTGGTATGGGGACAACATTATCACTGAAGGTGGAGTGCGTCAGTGGGTCATAAGATTTCAAAATGGCCGAACCAAACGACGAAGATCGAAGTGGGAGACCCAGCATAGTGACCGCCGAACTTCTCGAAAAAGTCGATGCTAAAGTCCGTGAAAATCGAAATTTCACAATAACGGAACTTTCTTTGAGTTTTCCACAAATTTCGCGAAGTTTGTTGCACGAAATCATCAGCGAAAAGCTTGGTTACCACAAGTTTTGTGCAAGATGGATTCCAAAAATCTTGACAGAGGACCACAAAAATCAGCGAATGGCTGCAGCGTTGAACTTTTGGACGCTTACCATAAGGATGGTGACTCTTTACTCGATCGCATCGTTACTGGTGACGAAACATGGGTGAAACATGTGACTGTGAAACGAAATTGCAATCAATGCATTGGGGCACACAAGTTCTCCCCAAAAACCCAAGAAATGCATGCAAACAATGTCGGCAAGGAAGATGATGGCGA